CCCCAAAACCCCAAAACCCCAAAACCCCAAAACCCCTTTTAGCGTAATATTTTAAATTTAAATGGAGAATGCCGCACAATTTTTAGACCAAGATCAATACCAAGATCATGACGAGATAGCTCAGTATCATAATAATTCAGGATATTCTTGAGAATATGCCGACCATCAAACCCCTGAAGGTTCTTATAGAGCAGATGAAGAGTTTAATATGTCACAAGTAATTTTCATCTTTGGCTTGGCTAATAATATGTAGGAAAATACTGGGAGTTATGAAGAAGCCATAGCTTATAGCAACAGGCAGCTTGATACAGCTACAATTAATGCTCCTCAATCAAGGCAGAATTTTGAAAGCTCCTCTTTTAACTTCGAAAATGGTTTACTCTCAACAGAGAAAAAGAAAGGAACTTATGATGAAGACCAAGGAGCTAATTGGAGAAACCTCCTTACTCCAAATAAATCCCTCTTTGGAGAAAAAGAGGAGAATAGCTGCATTAACACAAGTGAGAAAAAGAGTATAGCGCAGAACAACCTCAGTGACATGAAAGTTAAAATGGAGTCTAAAACATACCAAATAGAGAATAGATACGAGAACTCAATAGAGGATCTTAAGGTTTCAAATAGTGATGCTAATGATAATTCTCTACTTAAGCCCCAAAACCTTGACTATGGAGATGATAAGGAGAATTCTATCCTGAACCATCCAAATGTTCTGAGGTCTCATCAATCAAAATCCTCCAAGCAAGACCAAAATTGAACTGATGATGTAGATATGGAGCTTAGCAAGTCTCAGAATAAATCTGGGGGTAGTAACAATAACTTATTGACAAGCAAGGGGTACCAGATTTCATTTCTAGGATCAATCTCAAAAATGGATGACTTCTCTGCAATCAATAAGCTAATGAATAAGAAGGAAACTTCTCCTTCTTCAAAGTACAGTGACTCTAAGAATCAAAAGGATCTAGAATCTATGCTCAGGACAGCAATAAACCATAACCAAGTAAATGACAAAGAGGAAGCTAAGGATGAGCTCGGAATCATGAACCAGGATATTATAAATGCTGATGAGAGCCTCTTTAGAAGTATCATTAAATCCTCAAACAAAAAGCAAAAGAGGAAAATTTATAGGGAACTTGCTAAGAAAAAGGATCAACCAGGAATTGCTGCTAAGGCTAAGCTCTTAATGTCGAGCTACATGTCTGCAGAAGAATCTCCAAAACCATTTGAAGATGACCTTAGGCTTTCTCAGACTAAGATGGATCAGATCATTGAAGAAAACGAAGATCAGGAAAATGATGCTTTTCATGATTTCATCAATAAAGAAGATGATCACTCTCAAAATGAAAGCCAAGATCAGATCCCTGTGAGACATCATCCAAGCCAGACTTCAGAAAAAGACAGGCATGAGAACGTTTACCTTGAACAATTTGAAGTTTCACGTAATATCAGAGAAGAGCAAAATGAGTTAGAGAACTCCCCTCAATTCACACCAGAGATTTATAAACAAGATCAAAATGACAATGAAGTACTTCAGAATTTAATGAAATCTAAAGAGAATACTGGTACTAAAGAATCTGAAGAAGATGAAAATTATGTTCTTAGTTTGCCACTACAGCAAGAAGATGGACAGTCTAGTCATAAATACCAAAAGTCATCGAATTATTATTCATCTGAGAACGAAAATTCTGTTATTCTTAATGTACCAAATACTCAAGCTCAAACTCGAGGAGATGTTCAAATGAGATGGGATAATGAAGTTGCTCATAGAGATAATGCGAGGCAATCTCATAACGGGAGCAGGCAAATGGAGAACCATTCCTCCAATGGGAAATCAAACGATACTGGAATGGAATACTCACAGAATAATGGAGCAACAACTATAGCAGGCACTTCAATAGTTCAGACTATTCAGAGAGTTGGATACAAAGACTCTATTGATGTCAATAAACTAAATGGAAAGTATAATGACTCTATTGAAGAGCAGAAATCTGTTTTGTCACAAGATTATCAAGAAAATACACACCAAAATAATATACCAGATCCTTATTATGATCAAGAGTCTGTAAGAAATAGTCTTGCAATGCAGAATCAAAATATGATGCAACCGAAACCAGCTCAGAGGTATAATCAGCCTCAATACCCTCATGGAGTACAAACTAGTATTTCACCTGAAGATTATGAATCTATAAACCATGCTTTTAATTCTCATCAAATAGAAAATACGAGGAATAGGGGACATATCATGAAGTCTTCTGAGTTTACTTTTGTTGGAAGAAGGAATCATCATTCTCCTAATGAGAACCTTCCTTTAAGACAGAATCAGACTGAGATGATTAGTTCTACTCGTCAGTCAATCATTCTCAATCCTCTGACTGATGTTAATGTTACTAGCACTACAAAGAAGCAAAATGTACAGAAAAACCTCAATAATCCATCTAGAATGGCTAATATCGAAGAGGAAGGGACTCCTTTACATAATCTGGATGAAAGTCATAACATGCCTCAATATCTAGAGACGGATACTTTTAATCAACAAAACTTCAACCAACATAAAGATCAGCAGGAAGATGATCTTGAATTTACTCAGGAGAATTTTCAGATTCTCTACAAAGAATACAAGGATATTAGTGATTTTCTAGAACTCTTTACAAAAGAAAATCAAACATTGAGGGAGCTCCTTAATGAAGCTGGACATTCTTTCCATTCAATATTTGAGAATTGCTTCCAACCAAATTTTGTTAGGGAAGAAGCTACTCACGCGCTTGGGAGCATCAAGAATTTCCTCAACGAAGAAGGTGTGGCATCCCAAATCCAATCCTTCTCTGCTGTTGACGATGAAGGCAGAAGGTCAATTATGAACTATGAATCTCAAATGGATGCTCTGTCGTAAGTCTAGTTTGATTATTTATAGACAAAATGATAATTATACTCAGGTATCTTTGATGTCGCCTATTCCACGAACTGAAAACTCGGCAGAGTTTAATAATTTCGAAGATTTCACCCAGAATAACGAATTTGTGAGGAACCAAAATTCGGTCGAACTTCCTCAAATGCATCAAAGAGTTGAGGTAATCAGTAGTCTTAATCAATAGAACGGCAAATCTCCTGCAAATGCGGAGTATGTCAAAAGTCAAGCCGAGTATTCCTACCAGGACCAAGACAATATGTTCTTGCATAAGCCAAAGTCAAAGAGGAAAAAGCAAAAACAAAAGAAAAGAAGAGAATCAAGCTCTGAAACCAGCAGTAGTGTTCGGTCCTATCCTTCTGACAATGAGCCTAACAGATCATTTGACTTAGACTCCCCAGTCAAGAAAGAAAAGAAGAAATATAAGAAAGTGAAGAAATTGCTTAATCATTATAAATCTTCACTTGCTAAGTACAAGAATATGTGAGAGCTCCAGAAGCTTAAGAATGAAAATTTGGAAGATAAAGTTAGTAATTTGTCAAAAGAAGTCGAGAACATAAAGAGATCTAGTGTTGATAGTCTGAATCCAACCCTAATGTACCTTCAGAAACTTGAAAATATGGCCTATGCCACTCAAAGAAATCTTCCTGAAATGGTCAGTACGAGGAGAGATGAAGGATTTCATTCTAATATCCGGAGACAGGGTGCTTACTATGATCATATCTGATGAAGCACTGAAAAAGGAAAGTCTCCAGACAACTGAAAATGTATATCAAGAACCTCCCACTGTAAAAATGACTGTCAAGATCTTAAACATACCCCTGTTTCCAAAAAGATAGACACTAAAGCAAGCTTTGAGTCTAATTGTATCAAAAATAATGAAGAATCTAAATCTACCAACGATCAGCCCTCTGACAAAAAGAATTTGTATCATGGAAATGGCAGCGAAGAGAAGAAAATCAAGAACTACATGTCCAAATTTAAGAACATGTCAAAGTATATGAAAGAACTTCTCTCCTTGACCAAAAATATGCAGATCATCAACACTGCCAAGATGAGTATCTCTGATAAAATGTCTGCTCAGCAGATTAAAAGACAGTACAATGAATACCAACACCAAGTGGCAAAGATAAATGATGCCTTCAATTCAAATTTAAACCCAGAGAAGAAGTTCCAACAAGCTGAAGATGCCTTGAAGAGGTCACACTACTTACTCAAGAAGAGCATGGAAGCAGCTAAGAATTTCAAGAGTAATTCTATTTTATTATTTGTATAGACTCTAACATGAGTAAGAGTGGTAAAATTCTGAAAGATCTAGGAATTAGCTCCATTGCTAAGAGTTCCATAAATGATCAGATCCAACCAGAGAAGGAAATAAAAGATTTAAGGAGTCAATTTGAAGAAAGTAGTCTCCGCTACTCAATCGATACACTTAGCAGGTATCATGAGAGTCGGAAGAACTAATTTTAAATAACATTTCCAAAGATAGCAATTTTGGATATGACTCACGGGGTTTTGGGGTTTTGGGGTTTTGGGGTTTTGGGG